CTTCAATTTGGACCATTGTAAAGACTTGGGAACATTTACCCAGATCATGGCGAATGTATTTGGTAACCGATTCTCTATTTTTATGGTGTGTGGCTAAAACCCCAATTCTTGGGGTGTGATTATGTGATTATGGATTGAATTAGCTTATGGGTATTGTTAATTACTTATTAAAATTCTATATTGAAGTGGGTTTAATCATTAGCTATGTTCTAATCTATGAATTGTAGTTGCAAATGCAATTCTAACTTAGAGTTCTTAGCTTGCTTAAGAGAGATGTTTTGGGACAAAAGCTCTTGATTAATGGTTTGTAGGTATTGGGTTGATATGGGTTCAGCTCAAAAGAGTGAATCCTAAACCCAATCCTACCCATCTTTCTCGAGAGAGGATGTATTAAGGTTGTGGGTTGTTCTTATTTGCTAAGCTTGTTGATGTTCGAAAGAAATCACTTGAAGCGTGGTAGTTGTTCGAGAGAAAACTATTCCACTCATAGTCTAGCCTACCCACTGATATGTAGTTATTTATTAGTAGTTTCAATTACCCATATAGAGAAATTTGCCTATAATCAATCACATCCCGAGAATTCCTCTTTATATTGTTCTTTTCTCTTGTTTTGTTTGTGTTGTAGCTGATAATTGCAAACCAAAATCCCCTATCTGACATTCGTTGTCACCCCTTTAGACTTGTTTACATGTCTTTTTCAATAATTTCTATTCCTAACTAGTTAGCCCACATTTATACTTCATAACTGAATTTTAACACGTATCGCTCCCTGTGGGTTCGACCCCAACTCTTCGTTGGGTTTTATATTGCTTAACGATCGGTTGCACCTAGAATTGGATGAGATGTGCTTGAAACGTTAATCAAGGGCATTTTGAGTATTTACTCAACTCGGTAAGTATTATTTAATGATCATTATTTCATATATTTTGGGAGTAGTATTAGGCACCAATTTGGGTAAGAGTTAAGACAACTCAAACCTCATAACCTACGCCACCAGCGTAGATAGGATCATACAAAAATTTGGGACAACTCCTCTCCACCCTCAAGAAGGCTTTTCAGTAGATTCATAAGTTGAGTTGTGTTCTACACTCCGGCAAAATATAAGATAATTCTAGCAACGTGTGTGAAACGTTATATTATCACGAGACTCATAGTAATGGTTAGAGAAACTCCTCAAGAAAGTAAAGTATATTTATATATGTATTTCAGTATTTTCTATCATTGAGTTTTTTATGAAGCTTAACTGATTTTACTTCATGCTCATAATTTACTTTGGTTGAGTTATTTTCAGTCTTTCTATTCAGTTATTTGTTTCCTTCATTTTTATTACATACTATATATTTCATGTACTGACGTCATTCGGTGTTGTTTATTTTATAATGAAGATAGAGGCATTCAGGATCATCAACTGATGATTCGTGGAGATCGCATCATCAACTCATTAGCTTTTGGTGAGGTCTCCTTGCTTTCAGAGGACTCGATTTTTATCGCTTTAGTAGTAGTAGTATTTTGAGGTTGTTGTGGGGGATAGTTTATCATATCAAAAGGTATGTGTTCATAAGAGACCTCTAGTACTTAGTTTAGTTCAAAACCTTCCTACCGGCTAAGTTCGTATGGTCAATGTTGGATTCATCGTGTAATACTGCCCAACTCTATTGTTAGAATCTGAATAAGACGTCGTAAGTATATAAACTTGAACTAGGTGATGTCCTACTTGTGCTTATATGTTAAGGGTCATTATTATGTCTGGTAATTGTATGGGAAGTGGTTTAGGGTTATAAGAGACCTCTAGTACTTAATTGAGTTTAAAACCTTCCTACCGACTACGTTTTTTGCATTAGTTCATGCAAGGATCAATTCAAATGACCATATCTCTCATCATATAATGAGTTAGGTGGCCCATGACCTATCACATTAAATTTCTACAAGTCTTCTTTCCAACTCCACCAATTTGGCCTATTTTAGAGTTCGGAGTAAACACGTATGACAATTTCATCAGAGACTACCACAATAGAGTTTTCTGAGTCAGTGACCTATGAACCTTGTATATGGGTAGTAGATTGAAGTACGACCTATACTGTTCGCTCCTGGAAAAAGTCCTGAAAGTCATTTTTGGGTCTGAATCTTACGTACCTAGTTACGGGTCGTACGTAGAAGCATCGATGGGCCCTATTTTGGGTTGGTAGAGTAAAGTTCTGAAACTCAAATTTATGTCTGACTTCCACAGATGGGATCTATGGTCCATAGATCAAACCATCAATCATAGATGGCCTCGTGGAAGGTTTTCGAAAGCTTTTTAATTGGGGTTTCTTTTGTATTTTCTCACTTTTTCTAAGTCTAATCCATGACATTACGCATATCCTAAAAGGGTTTTCATGCTCAAGATTTAGTTTCTACACTCTTAACTCGCTCAAACTCAAAAGCCATTCTAAGCAAGGCAGAAGCTAGGGTTTTCAAGCATATTCTTCAAGTTTCTTTAAAAACTTTGTTCTTCCAGATATGTAAGACTATTCATAGTGGTGGACTAAGTTCGCCCTCACGCCCTACATATAAATTCAGTCAGTAAAGAGTTAAATCTAGAATTCTACCCAAAGTCCCATAATGAAATTCTGAATTTGGTTTGTGTTCTTATTATTCCGAGTTCTAATTGCTTAATTATGAAATTATGATACTTTATGTATTGAGACCCTTGAGTTGTTGTTCATACTTATATCATCACATGAACCCTAGTTGATGAGATTTTGTTAAAACTTTTTGTGTAATTATTTCATGCATTGATTTTGAAATTTAAAGTGAGTCCAAGCATACTTTTAAAGCATCATTTGAGAAGAGTTTTAAGGGAACATTAATGGTCCCAAATATATTATTTTGCATCAAGAAAAAAAGCATTATTCCAATAAAAACATAAATAGTTTTCAGAAGCATTTCAATCAGTTAAAGTAAAGATCAGTTACCCTTAAAGAGGATTTTTTGAGTATTAACTCAACCTAGTGAGTATTATTTAATGAACAATATTTCATATATTTTGAGAGTAGTATTGAGTACCGATTTTGGTAAGAGTTAAGACAACGCAAACCACATAACCTACGCCGCTAACGTAGATAGGATTGTACTGAATTTTGGGCGACTACTCTCCACCCTCAAGAAGGCTTTTTAGTGGATCCATAAGGCTTATGTTCCTTTCTTGTAGGTTTTGCATTGTTTAGTTGCTATGATTTCTACATTATTTTCTTCCTCTTTGTACTTAGATTTGCAATATTTGAGTCGAGGGTCTTTCAGAAATAGCCTAGCGTGAGTGACATTTCACCCCTAATCACAACTCACCCGCTGATTCTTCAACTTCAGTCGGTCGGACCTCCACTTAGTTTCACCTCTCTACCTTTACGAGAAGATCTACATGACTGCATACAATTTATCCTTCTCAGATTCCACTAATAAAATATCATTAAATATATTATCATTGTTATTGTATTCTTAAATGATATTATAAATATTAAATTATCCACAAAACATGACGACCAAGGAGGGGTAACAGCTCATAAATCAAGAAAAGAAAACATGTGGTTTGGAAAGGCAGAAAACGTATCTAGTGTGAAACGACAGACCTCGTGCAGAGGTAAATAAAAAAATGAAGCACACACTAAGATGTGAAATAGATATAATATATTAGTTTTATCAGTCCTGTTGCCTGGTTGCTTGGGGATGTGTATTTGTATAATAACACTCAGATTTAGCATATCTACCACCAATTCATCAATGTCTAGCCCATACCATCATGCAACAACCAAGTTGGCAAGTGGCAACTAACTGGACCAGCACCATCAATATCCTACCATTAATTAATACAAATGTATCGTGATTTCTAAAAGTAGTTATCTCAAATTAAAAAAATGTTATTGTTTTTCTTCATTTAATTTTTAATAGTAATTATTCTTAAAATTATACGCACGTTCATTAGAGATGATGACACAATATAATTGAATAACTATTCAAGAAAGAAAAATTATAACTTAAGGTATGATTGTCAAAATCCTCCTTAATTATGCTATTTTTTTAAGGCAGGTATAAAAGAGAAACATGAGATAAATTGAGACGGATGAAACATATATCCATCTAACTTTCATGTGCACATGCATTGATATATATATATATATATATTAACCCTCCACCCAAGAGCTTTCATGGTGACTCGAACTCACAATCGAGGATTATTTTGCATATTAAGGTAGAAGGTTATAAGTAGATACAGGCGGAAGCATAATATGTACACTACCCCCCCCCCCCCCCCCAAAATCCGAACTTCCACTCCTTACTCTATCTTATCTTATAGTGTTTTGCTAGAAATATTACATATATATACTATTAAATAATATAAACACTAAAAAAAAAAAAAAAGTAACAAACTCATTTGTTTTTTTAAAAGAAAATATATTTCTCTATCAAAATCCCCCAAGCTATGCCCAAAATCCATGAGACACACCTAACCTTTACTAAGGTCCTATTACCCACCCCCCCCCCCTCCCCAACTTATTTTATATATAATTTTCTACCCCTTTTCGGCCTACGTGGCACTATCCTTGAAAAAATTGTCAACACGCGCTGGGCCCACAAGATAGTGCCACGTAGGCCGAAAAGGGGTAGAAAATTATATATAAAATAAGTTCGGGGGTAATAGAACCTTAGTAAAGGTTAGGTGTGTCTCAGGGATTTTGGGCATAGGCTGAGGGGGTACTTATGCATTTTCTCAAATTTAAATTTTGAACATATAATTTCAACCTGAAAGCACTTACATCATGATACTATATGTAGACCCGCAAATTCATAGTTGGAGCCGTGACTAGCTAGCTTCTCGTTAGCATCCTATACAGTGGTGGATTATATTCAGAATCTTTACTCAGGGTTCGGTAAATAAAAATATAGTGTCTTACTCCTATAAATAGCTATTCTTTCTGTCATCAATCTTTCATCAACTAGCTAGTTCTAAATCTTCTTCTCCAACAATGGCGCCACTACTTTTCTTTGCCTTTTTCCTTCTCATTGCTTCTACTGTATGTCTTTTTGCTCACTTGTTCGTTTCTCAACTACAATGAATCATACATTTTAGATCTTTGCCTTTAGTATGCTTATATTAAGTTAAGTTAATCACATAAAATATGAATTTTATCGGACACTTTTCGTTATACATGCTAGCATAATGAGCATTTACATTAGTTTGTTCCTAATCAAATGAAGTTCTATATTGTAGCATTCTTAGAGTTAATTGTTGTTGTCTTAGAAAATCACTTTCTAAAATAATAACTATTAGTTGAGTGATCATCTCAGAAATTAACTGATCAATTGTTATTACGATAAACAACTTTTATCTAGTGTAAACAACTTATATTTATGAGTTGCTAAGATTCTTTCATATGTACCCAAGAATAGTTCACCAACGTATGCTAACTCATTGAACTTTTTTCTTCCTTTTTTTTCTGTTTCTTGACAGAACGGAGCTGCTCCTGGTGCTTTCCCACCCGTCAATGTATCCTCTCCAACACCTCCGGTCCCCATGCCACCAACAACTCCATACCCACCACCCATCCGATTGATCACCCCACCTCCTCCACCACCAGTTAAGTTACCATCCCCACCTCCGGCAGTCAAGCTACCGCCACCTCCACCATCACCACCACTCCCTACTCCCCCCGTTTCACCACCAAAGACGACAGCAGGTATAACACACTTATACCAATAGTACTTTTAATAAGTTCAATCTTTTATTTTTACCTGATCTATTTATCTCCCGTTTCTTGTATCTAGTATTTAGATAATTTTGAATTTCTATCGAGAATTAAAAAAGAAATATGACGGACGCCTTATGCAATGAAAATGGACAATAGTATCAGTCTTACTTCTTCCAATAAAAAACACGAAATTGAAAAAAAGGAAAGACGGGAATCTATACCTTGATTTACAAGTTTTTTTTAAACTGCGTGCATCAAAAGAAGCATGTATGGTTTCTAGGGTTGATAGGGAGATTCCCAATCAACTTATTGGTGTTATATGGTATATGTCAAGATCGAGAATGAGACCAAAGATCTACTATATGTCAAATTCATAATTTATCTAAAACAACGATTTGTAGATTGCATTCCCCTATGCTCGGTGAGATGCAAATTGCATTCAAGGAAAAATGTATGCCTAAGAGCGTGCACTACTTGCTGTTTAAGATGCAAATGTGTTCCACCAGGCCAATATGGAAACAGAGAGAAATGTGGCAAATGCTATGCTAATATGGCCACTCGCGGAGGCAGACTCAAGTGCCCATGAAAATGGTTCATACAGTAGGGAACTGTCTATCTACGCTACATCCGTAGATATCATTTTTTTCTCCAACTGTTTGAGATTAAACCATATCATTAAGTGTAATTTATTATTTTGTATGTGTGTGTCTGCACGTTCTTTTAAGTAATGGAAGGGAACTATTCTCATGTTATTCTTACAGTATTTATGTTCTTATTAGAAATTTATCTGGAGCATAAGTCTTGTTTCATTTGCTTAAAAGCATTTATGTGATTTGCATTCTGAATGAGTGGAATCACAGTACTAGGGTTGTTTGGTATTGAGGAAAATATATTATATTTCTTATTTTTTCATGTTTGGTTTGACAATTTTTGTAAAATATTTTTTCTAGAAAAATAAGTTACTTAAAAATGAGAAAAATAACTTTCTTAATGAAAGTAGGAAAAACAAGTTCACGTTTTATGTTTTTATTGTGTCCTCTCATCCACCTAACGCCCCCAACCCCTACCTCTTGAGTCTTGACCATCCCACCCCGAAGGCCACAACCACTGACACTCTCCCAAGTCCTACACCTATAATATTTTTTGCAAGATTACATAGCAATGTTCTTGAAATAAAAAAAATTGCCTACTTACCAAACAATAAAAAAAAATATAAGTAAAACCAATTTATTTTCCATGGAAATTGTTATCCTCTGTACCAAACACACTTAAATCTCATTTGTTTTTGCAAATTCCATTACGGGCACTTGAATTGGCCATTTCGAAATTATGGGTGCTCAGATTGTGTTTGTCCCCATGCCTTTTTCATCTAACAAATGCAAATCCTCTATAGAAGTAGCAAAAATTCAGCATCTCCGTGTGGCTTTAGATTTCTAGCAACAAACACCAATAAATTCAGCATCTCCGTGGGAATGCTTTGCTTTGCTTTTCTTTCTTTCTTTCTTTCATTGTCGAGACACCAAGATGAGTGAAGGTTAACATTCGCGAAAGTCTGTTCATTTTGCCTCCAGTTAGCAGTAAATATACGTCCTATTACAGACCATTCAAGAAACTAACAAAGAGAGAACAGCATTGTACTTCCAAACTTCCACACCAGTGATAACTGATTGAGTCAACATCAAGCACAATTAACAAACAAGACAGACGTAAATCGACTCATCAGAATTAAGCAACACCTCCAGTCAACTTCCATTTCCTCTTCATCTTTCTCCCTCAACACCTCTAATATCCTCTTGACCTTATTCTTCGCCCGTTCACTTGTCATTTCCTCAAGTGTTGTCATCAACAAGTCCTCTGCAACAGCCTCCTTTCCCAACCCTTTAAACCTAAGTCCACCATGACTTAATCCATATAATACACTAACACAACTCTCGCGAATCGACTCTGTATCAAACTCTTCCCCCCTTCTCAACATACCTAGGAAACACTCCACTGCACCCCTATCAAGCATAACTCCTCTACCCTCTAAACTACCTGCCATGTTACACAGTATTAACAGAATTCGACCCGTCTTAGGACCGGTTCTCGCCATGCTTAACAGTGACTGAACCGCACCAAGTTTAACCAACTTAGCGCAGTTACTCTGAACCATAGAAAGGTGAAACAGAGCTAATGCAGAATCATGTCGAGTCCGTTCTGAATCAGAACGGAGAGAGTGGGTAGGGGTAAGGGACCATCCCCAGACTCTTCAGAACTCGTAGATACGTCACGATTCAACTGTGTCACAGACTCAATAAATCGATTCATGACATCAGAATTACCATTACTATGGATCTGTTGACGAAACTTTTGTGGTTTTGGGTAGCCATTAATGTACGGACGAGATTTTGAGCAGAGATGAAATCAATGGGTTGAGGAGGGTGGATATGTGAAGAAGAGTACCAATTGATAATGGTAGATTTAAGGGCTCTATTAGGGATGATAGTAGAGAAATTGGGCAGAGAAGCATCAAGCAAGATGGGTGTAACACCAAAGGGATTTGCAGGCAAGAACACAGTTACGTTCGAAGGTATGACCAGAAGAGACAATCATAGGGTCAGCCATGAGAGAGACCCAGAAATTGGATAGATGAATTCGATAGGAATAGGTGGAGATTTGTGGAAGGAGATTCTCCATCTTTGCTTGTCAGTCCCCATTGTTGTTGCAGAAGAAATTTTCTGTTAGGTAATATGCGTGAAGGGAGAAAAAAAAAATGTCCGGCAACCACCTTGTAGTTCGACTAAATCTGAATTAGCTTGTAGTCTGACGTAAAGTACCACATTAAGAGTAAAATGCTCCCTAACAAAAAAGACTTCATATGCGAATTACTCAAACTCCATACTCGAATTTGTACCAAGGAGACTCGGACTCGAGACTTCTTGATTAAGGTGATGAGTCATGTTGTTAATCATACATGATACAACTAATAATTTCAATTCTTATTTCTTCACCCTTTAACTTTAATACGTCCTCATTTAAAAAAGAATGACTTTCTTTTAATTTGTTTTAAAAAGAATTGATCCCTCTTCACTTTTAGCAATACGTTAATTTTTACTTTTCACATAACATATTTAAGTCAGACGATTAAAAGAAATTTTATTACATTTGACATAATATTAATTAAGAATTATATGATTGAAGTAAAGAACAACTCTATAATGAATTGTGCTTAAATAGAAGCAATGTCGTTTAGAATACGTGTGCACTTACATTCCAGAATATTGAAGGACCTAGTCTTATAACATAATTTATGTATTAGGATTTTATCTTTGAGTTGTAACGTTGATGTAATCTTAATTTAATAATTTATTAACTAAATTAGGAGTGTTGTCTTCAAATTGGGATAACTTGAAGACTTGGGAACACATACCTTGGGAGATTTATGCTGAAGTTTAGGAATTAAAATAAATTCCTAGGGTTTGTAAGAGTTGTAATCTTAATTCATAACTTGAAGTAGGTTCGAGGATCTGGTTGATTATTGACGTTTAGGAATTAGAGTTAATTTCTTAGGTTATATAGTTTGTAATTTTAAACTGTTGAAGGTCAGGGATTTCGTGAAATTAGAGTTAAATATATAGAATACAAGTCGTGTTTTTTACACATTTTGAGTCATATGTTTTCCACATAAAATAATGTGTTCTTTACTTATTGATCTTACTTCTTTGAAGCATATTAGAGAACTTGTTTTTTAGGCAAAAAAAAATTAAATTAAGTGACTAAATTTAAGATAATGTAGTAAATCAATTTTCTTAAACTACAGATAAATTTGTGATATTAAATTCTAAAGTTGATGTAAAAGGAGCTACAAACTCTACCAATGAGTCTTCAAGAGCAAATGCAGTACCCATCATTATTCCCTTCTTTACATGACACTAACTTAATTCCAAAGCTTCTTTCTTCCTTTTCTTGTCTGCACTCCACTTTGACACATAAACAATATATATATATATATATATTCTGGTTTATTTAATCATTATTTGAATTTTTCGGGCTTATTTAATCATTATTTGAAGTTGGTTGGTCGAATTAATTCAAAAGTATTTATGCCTTTTATCACAAGGTTTTCTTATTTCAAGGCTAGATCTTGAGATTTAGTATGGGAAGATTTTAATTTAACCATCTCATAGTTTAACCATATGGGATTGTCACACCCCGAGTCTACACCCTGGGCGAGACTAACACTCAAGAACCATTGCTGGCTCCAAGCGAACCCTTGGCCTAGCTTAACTCATAGCGGAAGACTTAAAACATTAATACAAAGATTCAATGCATCTTTACTCAATTGTCTAAAAGATAACTTGGAACGTTTAAAGATAAAACATGCAACTCAGTCAAAGTGGCAACTCAAGTCTAAACATAAGAAATAACAATGTAACGACAAATGAACTATTAACTGTCATTGAAGTCTATAACAACTGAGATGGACGTCGGGACAAGACTCACGACATCCTAATGAACTAACTATAAAGCAATAAAAAGGGGTCCTCCGAAAGAAAGAAGGCTCACCAACTGACTCTCAGTGCTCAACTGGATCAACGAGGTGTTGGATGTTGATCCTGATTACCTATATCTGCATCATAAAACGATGCAGGTCAAATGGCATCTTGAATGTACGAGCATGTGAGGGGAAAATTAAACATGACATAAACTTGAAAGGAATTTGAAAAGAACACTTACCTTGGTTTTACTCAATTCATGGATACTCAACTCAAATGCAAAGTAAAACAACAATAAAGGTTCAGTTTATACAAAGCATTTATAACAATAGATGACAACTCAATGTGTTATAGAAATACAATGACAACTCAATGTGTTATAGAAATACAATAACAACTCAGTTTACATATAAAGTAATATAATATTGTGGGAGTTTCTCTAACCGATAACAATCACTATGAGCTAATGTGATGATACATCGTCTCACCCACGCTGCCAGAACTGTCCTATAACTTGCCGTGATACAAAACGCCGCAACTAAGTGGATCCACTAGTCTATGCTAAAAAGCACTAAGGAATCATCTAAAAAGTATGACCCTTTTTACCCACGATGGCTACATGGTTTATGGAGACTTGAGTTATTGTGAACTCATCCCCATATCGGTGCTCAATACTACTCCCAAAATATACTCAGCTCATAGGTTTAAAAACAAAACTCTTTCTATGGTTTGAGATAATTAATCAAAAACTAGCTCAAAGGCACTCTTGGAAATCGGTGTTTCCTCTCTTGTTTAAATGTGAAAATATTTACTCTTTTGGGAATACATAGTCCCGACATAATCTTTTGAAGAAAAGAACTTTGATCTTTACTCTTTATTCAACTCAAAACTCAAGTCGTAAAACAAAGTTAAAAAGTTTGCAAAAGACTTTTGAAATGACTCTAAGAACTCTCTAGACTTGGCTCTTAACTTTCCTTGAATTTGAATTTATGGATTCAAGGATTGTGATTTGTGATAGGAAAGGTCGCATGATGTTTAGGAATGTTTTTAAATAGCTAAACATGAGAATGTTAAAGAAGTCACTGCCTGGAAACAAGTTCGCGACACGGAG